AGCCAAGAAGTGGAAGCAACCTAAGTGTCCCTCGACTGATGATCAAGAAGATGTGGTATATATATACAATAGAATACTACTCAGCCATAAAAAAAACACAAAATAGTCCCATTTGCAACAACATGAATGGGCCTGGAGGGTATTATGTTAAGTGAAATAAGGCAGAAAGAGAAAGACAAACACTGTATGATCTCACTCATATGTGGAATATAAACTAACACATGGACAGAGAAAACTATATTGTGGTTACCAGGGGCCCATAATGGGGATAGGGGGTGGGCACAAGGTGTGAAGGGATACATATATATATATGGTGATGGACAAACAAAAATGTACAACCCAAAATTTCACAATGTTGTAAACTATTAAAACATCTGTTAAAAAAAAAAAAAAAAAAAAAAGAGGAGAGAGGGAGTAACTCTGCCCAGGGTAGAGCAGCGGACATCAGGGAAGGCCAGAGGTGGCTTAACTGCAGGTTCAGGGAAACAACAGCAGTTATTATGTGATCTCAGAATTGTTCATTTACAAGTCTGTCACCCCCACCAGACTGCTGAATTCCAAGTGCAGTGATTATGGCTTTTCATTTTTATATCCTCAGTAACTGCATGTGGGCCAAACTTAATCAACGTTCACTGAGAAGAGAAACATTTCTGGGCCGGCCCCGTGGCTTGGCGGTTAAGTGCGCGCGCTCCGCTGCTGGCGGCCCGGGTTCGGATCCGGGGCGCACACCGACGCACCGCTTCTCCGGCCATGCTGAGGCCACGTCCCACATATAGCAGCTGGAGGGTTGTGCAGCTATGACATACAACTATCTGCTGGGGCTTTGGGGGGAAAAATAAATAAAAAAAATCTTTAAAAAAAAAAAAAAAAAAGAAACATTTCTGAAGATCTCACAGCTATTAATCCAGCCTCAGCAATGGCCACTCAACTCCCTTTCTGAGGGAGCAGCAATTTAAGTTAAATAAGCAGAAAGGATTGCTGTGTTCACCTATTTTGCCATCTATAAAACAGTTCTAGCTGGAAAAATATTGGTGTCAGCTGTAATCTAAGGATTCAGTAAGGTTGTTTCATTATCTCTCACTGCACAGTTTGCAAAAAGAACATTGGACTAGAATGGAGATTTGGGCCTTGTCTTGGTATCTCCAAGTCATGTGGGAAACAACAAGGTTAGCCCAAATCTGAAATCACTTCTCCTGGTCTCAATCATGTCAACCAATTGTATTTCCCTCAGAGCATCTATCACATCTGGAGTTATCTTGTTCATTATTTGTTCACTTGGTTATGGTCTGTGCTCCCATGAAATTGAAGCCCCCTGAGAGGCAGACACTGTCTTCACTGTACATTACTACAGCCCCAGCACCTAGAATAGTGCTTGGCATGTAACTAGTGCTTGACAAATATCCGTTAAATGAATGAGTGAGGGAGTGAAATGTGCTTAGAGCCCTTTAGAACTGGTCTTTGAAGGAGCAGGAGTTAGACATCTGGAAATGTGCTCAGCAATAATAGCTCCCCAGCTGGCTAGGGAAGTCCATTAACCCACAATTGTGTCTGAGGCACAAAGCAAAAAAACAACAGGACTCAGGGACAGGAGCCGCTTGGGTAACAATGTCATGAGGAAAACGTGGAGTGTCAACTCAAATTGCCAAGAACACAGCTCTCCTTGCTGGTGTCCAGGTAGAAGGCAGTCCTGCTCTAATTTCAAACCAATGGGCAGGGGTGGGAGGAGGGAGTGCTGATTCCAGTAAGTTCCAGGGAGGAAAGGAGCATGAGACAGGTACGTGCTCCAAGCCAAGGACTCCTCATTTTGGGGAGGTATATATCGGAATCACCTGGGGTGCTTCTTCCAACTTACTCACAGAGAGGGCAATATGTTCCACTGATTGAAATTATTGCTCAGTGAACTGCAGGTAGAAGAAAATGTGTCTTTTCCTGTTGTTCTTCAGAACCAGTGCTTTAGGCTAAGGAATAGACTAAGGCTAGACTGGGGTCTAGGAGGTGCAAATATAAGGCAGGAGGGGCCCTAGGGCAGTGGTGGCTGAGAGGGATTGAGAAACAGGGTTTCCTCCTCTTCCTTTGTCTGCCGCCAGGGGCTGCAGACATCTAGCTGTTAGAACTGGGGGAGATGGAGCAGGGTCTGTAATGGCTTCCACACCTCTTTTCTATTCCCTTTCCACCTCTTTTTCTCTTTTTCCCTGTTGTCTGGGAAACACTGGAGGAAGGAACAGGGAATGGAAGAAGAGGCCCAAAGCAACAGTAGAGGCAGGGAGAGATGCAGGGGAACGGGTGTTTTGCCACAAACCAACTGGGGTTCACCATTCATATTTTCTAAGTCAGACATTTACAGGCTCAAAAGTCAGGAGACTCCTTAAGGACTGCACAAACAAGCAAGCTCATTTTCTTTGCATATAAGACTTACAATGGAAATCGTGAAGGAAAAGCCAAGCTTACACCCTTTGTTTTTTGGTACCACTATAAAATACTGCCACAGTAAATGTCCAAATAAAAATATAGGGTTGTTCTAAACAAGGCACATCTAATTCTACATGCATCACTATAAAGGTAGCAGGTGGGCAACACAGGCCTAAGACAAACACAGACGATCCTCAAATTGAGAATACTGGATACCATAATTAATTTTTTTCTGCAGGTTGGGAAAAGACTGCTGGGATCTGATTCTAGTAGTAGTACCTCAAATTCTAGCTCACATCACTAACCTTACCTTCAGAAGGAGCAATGCTCTTAAGAAAGGGTAAGCAAATTTTTTTCTGTAAAGGGCCAGACAATAAATATTTTCAGCTTTGCAGGCCAGATAGTCTCTGTTGCCAACTATTCAACTCTGCCACTGTAGTGCAAAAGGAGCTACAGACAGTAACCAAACAAATGGGCATGGCTGTGCTCCAATAAAATTTTATGTATAAAAACAAGCAGCAATAATAAGTGTTAGTGAGGATGTGAAGAAATTGAAACCTTCATACATTGCTGGTGGGAATGTAAAGTGGTACAGTCATTTTGAAAAACAGTCTGTCAATTCCTCAAAAAGTTAAACATAGAGTTATCATATGACCCAGGAACCCCAGTTCTAGGTCTACACCCAAGAGAAATAAAAATAAATGTCCACAAAACAACTTGTACATGAATATTCACAGAAGCATTGTTTATAATAGCCAAAAGTAGAAAACCCAAACGTTTATCAACAGACTAATGGATAAACAAAACGTGGTCTATCCATACAATGCATTCATTCAGAAGGATACATGCTACAACATGGATGAATCTTGGAAACACTACATTATGTGAAAGAAGCCAGACACAAAAGATCATTTATGATTCCATTTATACAAAATGTCCAAAATAGGCAAATCCATCAACAGAAAGTAGACTAGTGGTTGCTAAGGAGAGGGGGAATGAGCAGTGACTGCTAATGGGTATGAAGTTTTTTATTAGAATGATGAAAATGTTTTAGAATTAAGACAGTGGCGATGGTTGTACCACGTTGTGAATATATCAAAAACCACTTTAAAAGGGTGAATTTTATGGTGTGTGAATTACATGTTAATTTAAAAAAAGAAACAGATGGCAGCCTATATTTGGCCCACGGGCTGAAGTTTGCCAGCCCTGCTCTAAGCCCTGATACCTCAATGCCACCCTGAAGCAGCATCTACCCAGGCATGACTATGAGGCACACTGCCCTTGCTCGCCTCCAGATACAGTCGGTCATAGAAGAAAAAGCATGGCCATAGTTAAGATTTCATTTTCAGCTACTAAAGAACTGACCTAAAATGCCAGACAACAGTCACCACTGAATTAGAAAAACAGAAAGGAAGAGCTTACTTTAATGATGCTGCCATCCTGATGTATTCAGGAGCTTTTTGGTCAACTTTCTCCATGCAAAGTCGTAATTTCTAAGTATAAAAAAGAAGAGGTGAGTGGTTCTCTCAAGATGAAGAAAAGCCTACCCAGAAGTTATGCCACATCAACAGAGACATATTTAAAATGTGCAGTTTTCTAAAATGAAAAAATGCAGAGCGTGGTGTTTTGTTTTGTTTTTTTACTGTTATCAATTTCCTGATTTACAGACCTACTTTACAAGCAGAACATGGTACAGGAAAAAAAGAAAATGAGAGTGGAACTTCTGACTGGATGTTTCTGAGAGGAGCAAGGCCTTTCAGGACACAAGCCAATGATTTTACCAAGGCAGAGAAAAGGAATTAGCTGCTACATTCTTTCTCTGCCAGATGATACAAGACACCAGCACAAGGCGTTGCCAGTGCTTACTTCAAAAAAGGAAGGAAAAACACAGTGGCTCTTTACAAAAACCAGTTATCAGGTCATGGACTCCACATAAAGGATGAATAATGGCTACATGTGCAGCTCCGCACATGGTATAATTAACACCATTTCTAGTAGCCTGAGTATTTTAATGGTGATTCCAGAAACACACCCATTATGACCTACAGAACTGCTAACAGTGACCATTCAGTGATCAGACAAAAATACACTCTTCCTCTGTTCAGAGTGTTGCATGAACTGTGTCCTCTGCCCGGGCTGATCTCCTCCTCCCCATCTCCTACCGCCTCCCTGCCCCACCCCAACCTGGCTAATCCTTCTCAGCTTGCAGGAGCCCAGGCAGTCTCACTCCCAGTCTGACTCCAAATCCCACGTTCTTGCACTGTACTACGTTCCTCTCAAACTGTATGTCTACTAAAGATGTTCTGGGGTCACTGGTGGTAACGAGAGCTGAGGCATTTGAATGGACTTAAAAGGGGAAGCTCTAAGACTGTGGGCAGTTTCTCAAACTTGTAAAGCCTGAAACTCCCAAATGAGTTTCCCAGGACTCTTCTGGCCCACTGTTCACTAGCAGCTCTGGCTTCTGCCCTCTCCCACAGAACCTGTTCACACTGCATGGCAAGCATCCTTCCTCCTCTTGCCCCTGGGCCACCAAAGCCTCCAACCTCCTGCTTTCAAGTGGGCAAGGAAGGGTGAAGAAACAAGTTTGTTGCAACACGCCCAGGATGACTCTGTGACTCACACAGGGCCCTGGCTAGGAAATCATACTATGGCCCTTTAGCAGAAACTAAAAATGATTCAAACAAACAACTTCCCAAAGCATTCTCCAAAATGTGCAGGCATGTAATGAACAGCCAAATCTTCCTCACAAATCAGACCCAAGACTATACATAAGGAGTCACCTCGTAGAGCTTCACAATGTCAGGGGTGTGTTCCTTCTCGTCGATCTGCTGCTCTCTCTTGAGCAACGTGTCCTTGCAGTGTGTACAGCAGCGGATCCGGTCGTCATCCTTCTCGTCCAGGACGGAGCTCACACTGCTCATGCTGCTGATGCTGCCCCGGCGGGAGCCATGAACGCTGTTGGGTGACTGGCTGGGGCTGGTGTGGGTGCTCAAGGAATCCTTGCTGGCACTGGTGAGCTTGTCTGTAAAACACAACATAAGACAGGCAGCAGCGAGCCCACAGCCTCCAATCACCCACCACCTATGACAGCAGGGGAGTAAGAGCTGATGGGGGGTAAGAGCAGGTGCTGATGGGGGTAAAAGCAGGCTCTGCCTATGAGCAAGAAGCATCCACACCTCTGCCTTCCTGTGGTCAGGCTCTGCAATGGGATGGACTACCACCACCAGCCAGGAAAGAGCCAGACAGCCTAGGATGGTCTGTCTTTGAGGCTCTGAGGCCCACCACTAACCTGGCCTTACCACCTACACCCCTCCTCCACTTGCTGTGCCTCAGATACAATCCACGTTCTCCCTGGTCTGTCCAGACAGCCTTCCCCCACACCCAAACACCTGACTGCTACCCCTTCCAAAGCTCAGCTCAAATGGCACGTCCTCTAGGGAGCCCTCCCCTATTCCGTGATCTGCCCTTCCGATCAGTTCCTACTGCACTGCCCCTCTTAGAGCACTTTCCACTTTTCTCCCTGTATAACAGTTCTATGTACACCCCAGAGCTGCCCTAGGAATCTGTGACTCTTCAAGGGTAGAAGCTGTGTCTTATGTATACTTGCACCCCTACATATCCAACAGGGCCACCCCCTAGCAGCTGTCCAGTAAATCTTGATTAATTAGTCCAAGAGAAGAAAAGTGAACAGTGTCCCAAAAACATAGCTTCTGAAGTCCCAAGTGAGAGAGAGAGTCCGTCTCGGGGAGAAAGGGAAAGGCAAAGCATCAGGGTGATGAGTGCCCAGTGATGTCAGAGCTAGACAGAGGAAGCATCTGCTTCTGCTCCATGTTGTCCAGATGCCCTGTAGCGAACAGTATGTGTAGAGTGAGCAGAACTCTCCAGGGTTGCAAAACCAACCCAAATATCCCAGAATTGGCCAAAAGCCCATGAGATCATCTTTAGCAACTTTTAACCAGCTGAGATTCAAAGTTCCGGACCATCTGGTTCCACCTACTCTGTAGCCTCATTCCCATAATTCACAAACATGTCCTCCACACTCCCCCAACTGGTCTATTTGCTCAACTACTAACCTTCCCTAGGGCCTTTCCACATTCCACGCCTTTGCTCCTGCTCTTCACTCTACCCAGGATGCCCTCCTGCCCTATCTCTGCAATCCTAGTCATCTTTCAAGTTTCTTCTTGAACGTCACCTCTCAACCCTGAGCATCCATGCTCTCCCTCTAGCCCAGTCTCCACAGCACACAGTACCTCTTCACATTATGACATTACTGTCTGTTCTGTATGACAGTGAGCCATCTGTGACTTTCATCTCAAAGCAAAGGACTGCTCATTTCTGCTCATTTTTCAATACCATTTCCTACAGTCTCCTCTCAAAGCCTCACTTGCCACTTCCAAGCAGAGCTGACAAAGATTTGGTCAGCTCTCCTGGGTGTCTGACACAACTTCTCTCATTGTACATATCTCTTTATAAAGCAATCATTTGTTTCCTAGACTGTATCCCCTATTAGTTGCTGGAACCCTTGGGAGGATGAACACTGCCTTATAGAGCAGAGGTGGGCAAACAACGACCTGCCAGCCAAGTCCAGCCTGTTTTTATATGGCCCTCAAGCTAAGTATGGTTTTTACATTTTTAAAAGGTTGTTTTTAAAAAAAGAAGCAGAAATGTCACAGAGATCATATTCAAATCACAAAGCATAAAATATTTACTATCTAATCCTTTATGGAAAAAGTTTGCCAACCCCTGTTACAGACCATTGTATCCCTGGAGCCTAGCACAGTGCCTAGCCTGTAGTGGGCTTCATGGAATCAACAAGTGAATGAATGAAGATCCCACAGGCCATTAATTTAAACTAAAAGGTTCAAAAAATCACCCAGTGGTGATTAGCAAACAAGCTAATCTCAAGAGGAGATCAGGGTCCAGGGCCCTGCCTCCACATTACCTACTTGCCAAGGGAAGACTAATGAGCTCCATACACTTCTTGCACATAATAGACCCACAGAGACGGCAGTGGTGGCGGCGGTTACGGATGTTGAACTTATTCCCACAGTCTGGACAGAAAGGGACATCCTGGTCATTGACCCAAGGCACCACGGACTTTTCTATTGCTTTGGGAAGAACAAAACAAAAACCAAACAAAAAAGCAAGTCATTTAAAAAAGAGATTTGGTCAGGGAGAAAGATAAACAGAATGAATGTGAGTAAAGTTCTAGAGTTACCTCGGATCTTAGCAGACTCAGTATTCGTTCTGTCAAATGCAGTGAGCTGACAAGGAGAAAACAGTGCCAAAGGGAATTAATCAGGTGAGGTATACACTTTTCACAGGCAAGAGGCATCAAATGGGAATCAGCACATCTGCATTTCTCAAGTCTCATCTGTCATCCCTCGCCCCACAAAGTCACAAAAGCAACGTCACATGGGATACAGTATTAGCTTTGCATCTAGAACGCACCTCCCTTCCCATGACCCACTTTCAATCTCTTTATTGTAGTTACCCATTTAAGCAATAACAAGGGATAGGCAAGGATGCAGTGAGGGTGGCTAGGGAAAGCATTGGGGAACTCCTGATTCCCCACCATCCTCTGGACCATGAAACTGGCCATGTATTTCTGCCCTATAAAATACACATCAAGAACTGTACCTGTGGTTGCTACCATGCCCACCACACAATCCAGCTTGTACACAAGTATTTCTAGGGTCAAAGTAAAACAGAGTGATCATGGTATTGAAGACGCACTCCCGTACCACAGGACAAGAAAGCCCAATAAACATGTTCCCACACTGCATGCTGGCCCCGGCTGAGTACTCCTCACAGACCTAGTCCCTAGCTTTTCTGTTTGCCATCAAATGCTATCACAGACTATGCCCCATTGTGTGATTGCCTGGGACACACAAAAAAGGAAAGAATCTGAAGGCAGAAAGGCTTTCCAGCAGCCAAGTGGGCTTCATAGGAAGGAAAGGGAAGCTGGATATGTGGCAAGTCTGTTGACCTGGGCCATTCCTTTCAGTAAAACCAGCCCAGGTTAGAACTGTCCACCATGTCCTCTGCATCTTTCCAGGTGGGGTGTTTCTCTGCCAGCATCAGATATATATGACATATATAACACAAGCTGCAGAAATCTAATTTTTTCCTCCCCAAAAATTTATACTTGCAGAAAAGTGTTTTAAAACAACAAAATTTACCTTCTCTAACCTGATTATTAATTTATTGACTTCAACAACATAGTGGTCAATTCTGGCAGCTCGGTGTTTTTTGAAGTCAGAAAGATGGCTTCTCACAGCACCTAGAAGGAGACAAGGTGGGGAGATAAATGACTTGTCAGTTCTCTGAGGGAGCCTCTCTTTCTTACTGCTTATCCTCAATGAATTTCTTTTTTTTTTTTGTTTTTTTTTTTTGTGTGAGGAGATCAGCCCTGTGCTAACATCCGCCAATCCTCCTCTTTTTTTTTTTTGCTGAGGAAGATGGCCCTGGGCTAACATCTGTGCCCATCTTCCTCCACTTTATATGGGACACCGCCACAGCATGGCTTGCCAAGCAGTGCGTCGGTGCGCGCCCGGGATCCGAACCAGCGAACCCCGGGCCGCCGCAGCGGAGCGCGCGCACTTAACCGCTTGCGCCACCGGGCCGGCCCCTATCCTCAATGAATTTCAAAACCAAGTAAAAAATCTAGAATTTTAGAGCCTTACTAAGAATTCAAAAAATAGGAAAGCAAATGGAAGGAATTTTGCTAAAATGTTAACTACAGTGACTTTGGAGGCCACAAAGTGCAATATGAGAGACCTCAGAGTACAGTGGATAAGAGCTTAGACTCTGGAGCCGACCTGTGCTCAAGTTTCAATTCTGCCACACACTGTGTGACCTTGGGAAAGTTCCTTAACCTCTGTAACTTGGGAGTACTCATCTACAAAATGCGGATAACAATGGTACCTACTCCACAGGGTTGTTATGAGGATTAAATAAGTTAAAATTTATAAAGTGCCTGGCACATGAATTTTTGTTAAATATAAAGGGCAGTAACATTATGGGCAATTTTTTTAATCTTTCATATTTTTCTATACTTTCCAAAGTCAGTACAATACGGTTATTCATCAGAATAAAAACAATCCTTCTCAAAATAACCAAAATATGTAAACGCTAATCGATGCCCTTGGGGGAGCTAGTTAAACTGACACCTTCCTCAGTCCAGCAACCAAGACCCAGGACAAACCTCTCACACAAATGGAAACAAATGGCCTGTTATCTCAGGGTATCTGAAATATCCCCTGCTCAACCTCACCTCTTTCAGAAAACCAACCCTCCCCTCTCCAGCTCCCAGCACTCAGTTCACTTCCTCCCAAAGATGGCCTGTTCATTTATACACTGTACCATATCTGAGTTTCTCACATGCTACACTCTTAACCATCCATGCCTCTTTTCTTCCCTAACCATACTCTAACAATCTAATTAAATTTTAGTTTTGAATTCTTAGGGGTGACCATAAATATTAAATTCTAAAATTTTCCGTTCACTTGACCTTCTGCAATTTGTGACTTCCTTCAGTTGTTGAGACAGGCAAGTAAATCAGAAAATCACCCTGATAATTTAACACTGGCAATCATGAAATAAGCTATCAAAAAGCTAATAAGAATTCACACGCCTGAAATTTCTCCTTATGTTTCTAATTGGCTTGAATATGTAACTCATAATTATATGCATACAGTAGTATTTTTAAAGCCATTTTCTCCTCCTATGATGAAAATCTTTCCCCTCTCCAATATGGTAGCCACTAGCCACATGTGCAGATGAGCACTTGAAATGTGGGTAGTGCATGGTTGAGGAAGTGACTTTTAATTGATTTAAATTTAAATAGCCACATATAGTTTGTGGCTATCATACTGGACAGTGCAGTTCTAGGACTTTCCTCATCCAAAAAGATCCATTCCATAGTGGCACTGTAAGAATATCATAGATGACTCTGAGTACATATTGCTTCTCTTCTCAGAACCTGCTTCCTCCTCTATAAATGGGAATGAGCATCACTACCCATTCTACCTCGCAAGGCTTTTGTGAAAAGTGAACAAGATAATGAATATGAAAGTGTAATATGAAGTGTAATAAAACACTACAAAGGAATCATTATTTACTCATTACATGGACAGAAAATACTATATTACATTAATGATGGTTATCATTCAACAGTTAAAGGACACGTAAGATTAGCTAGTTCAACTCTGTGTGGCATGACTTTTTGGTGATGGCTTTATTGAGATATTACTCACATACATAGAGTCCACCATTTAAAGTGTACAGATTCAATAGTTTTTAGTATAGTCACAGAGTTGTGCAACCATGACCAAAATAAATTTTAGAACATATTCAACATCCTAAAAAGACGATTATTTTGAAAGTAAGTAAATGATACCATAATTATGTGTTTCAGAAAATTAAGTTGCACAAATCAGTGCCTCTCCGTAGGCAGGTAATGCCCTACATGAGAGGAGACAGCCCAGTAAATGAAGTCCATGCCTGGGCAGATGTCAGAGACCTGGATTCCTACTCTAGTTCTGCAGTTTCCCAGCTGTCTGACCATGAGCAGGTCCCCATGGAGTGCCATGAGGATTAAATGAGAGCACACAGGTAAAGCATTTAATGCAGTGCACAGCACAAAGCAGATGCTCAGTCCATTGTCTCCCCTACTAGGGCATAAGGTCCATGAGAAGCTTAGAGCATTCTTATTTACTGATGCCTCCTCAGCCAACTTTTAAAACATTACCTAGAACATAGAGATGCTCAATAAACATTTGCTGAATGAATGAACAGAATTTCTTACCAAGCTCCTGGGGTTCCCACATGTAAGGATCAACCCCTCCATAGCTGAAAGACTCATATCCTTGGGTCCCTGATTCTGCTCGGTCATCTCCTTCTCGTTTCAACAGCCTGTTCTTTGCTTTCTTAGCCTTCTGGACAAGACCTTGAAAAATGGAACAAACACCATAAATGAATCTATGAAGAACACACCATGAAGACTTGAGGGAAATCTTAAAACACAGAGTTGATGAAATAATTATGCTTTGTTTAAAAATGGTCAAGAAATTTTTGGATCCCAAATAAAATGCAATAATAAACACACAATCACTGTATTATAAATACTACAGAGCAATCCTTTCACTAGTCAGTATTAGCAGTAAGCTGGTTTATGTGGCCAATATATGGCTAAATTACTGCTCGTTGCCAAATTTAAGTGCCCAAATAAAAGTATTAAAATCAAATTCAATGAGGGGACCAGAGTGATGGAAATGTTTTTTCCTGTATCTTACCCGGGGAGGTGTTTACACGGGTATATACATTTTTCAAAACTCACTGAATTGTACAATTGAAAACTTATGTGTAAACTATATCTCAATTAAAATAAAGGTTTTTTTTTTTAAATCAAATTCTACAGTACTAATTTATTTACCCTAGGGACTCATGAGTAAACACTTCTCATTTACCTCCAGGATGGATTCAGCCAAACCGACATCCCTGGGCTGGCGTTCCCCATAAGGCTTAACTGTACATTGAGTTCTTCCCCCACTCACTTACTGAAGGCAAGTGTGAGAACATTGACAAAAAGCTTCAAGAAACAGATATAACACATAAAACATAACACAAAGGGAACTAGATTTGGTAAGCAGAGAAAATGAATGTTTTCTGAATTGATTCCTTGTATGTACCAGACACAAATCAAAGTGCTTTCAAAAATATTATGCCAGTTAACGCTCACAACATTATGAGCAGGTGGCATCCCTACTTACAAAAGAGGACATGACATCAAAGAGGGAGAGAAACTTGCTTCACCCAAGATCACATAGCTTATATGCAGCAGGGCTGGAAGTGGAAACCTCACCCGTCTGAAACGAGAGCCCCAGCTCTCCCCAGCCAGCACTGATTCGAAAACTATGCCTCTGCAAAACAGGGGTTCCGCCACCTGCGTTGAGGTGAGAGGACCTGCTATTAAAATGGAACAACAGTCAACTGGTGGGAAAAAAAAGAATTCTCAATTCTAAGTTGCTCTCATTAATGTCCTTAGATCTTGGGTGACTGCTATCCCTTTCTGCCACTAGAATCTAGTAGAAAATATCAGATTTAATACAAAATAATATAATTTCTTTTACATTTAATAGATCAATACTTCATATGGAGTTCCCATGATTTTGAAGTGCTCTGTCACTTGGATAACATTAAAAACATTCCCATAGCTTCTCAAAACTCTAGGTAAATGCAGATATGGAGGGGCTGGCAGGGAGGGGGTGAAATTCATAAGGTTATAGACACATCTTTGTTAGTCAGTCAAGCTAATAAGTAAATTCCTTGATTATCAGTCACTCTGGAATGGCTTTCTCCAACTGGAAAAATAAGTCCACCAGAACTAAAGGACACCCTCTAAAATGCATTGAAGTAGTCTTTCTTAACAACAAAGGATAGGAAACTGCCTGATGCAAACAAAGGGTCTAGCAGACAGATAACTGAAGTTAGCAAACACCAATTCATTTTTGCAAACAAAAAGACTAAACCGTGTCAAGTTAAACAGGCAGTCCATGCCATTTAACCATTTTAGGAGGCATAAAAAAACTACCTGGCAACCTTCCCAGGGTGGGTGTAGCCCTTCAAGAAGGGGCCAGTTAAGAACAATCCCATATGTTTTTAAAAACACAAAGCAGAAGCTACAGTTAGTTTTCAACGGCCTTTTCTCATACTTACTGTACATGTGCAAAACCAAAGCTGAACGAGGGCTGGGGCCCAAATTCATCGACCGCTTTTTGGTAATGACAAGTTTACATTTTCTTTTTTAAACTACGTCTAAAATCTGATACCAAGGTTTGCTCTTTTGGCTTTAACATTTCACTTGCCTAAACCAGCAATGTCACGAGATTTCTTTTTTTTATTGCTTCCTCTCTGCATTTTATTTATTATTTTTTTATTGAGGTAACATTGGCTTATAACACTATATGTAAAATTTCTAAGAATCAAAAGACCAAATGAAGAGGTGATCTGTTTTTTAAAGGACTTTTCAAAAATCTTTGATGTCAATCTTTAAAACTTTACTCTCCTGCTTCAGAAACACAGAAAACTACAACACAAGCAAGAATTCCTTTCCAGGGCCGGCCCTGTGGCTTGGTGGTTAAGTGTGCGTGCTGCAATGCTGGTGGCCCGGGTTCGGATCCCGGGTGCGCATCGAGGCACCACTTCTCCGTTCATCCTGAGGCCGCGTCCCACATACAGCAACTAGAAGGATGTGCAGCTACGACATACAACTATCTACTGGGGCTTTGGGGGGAAAAAAATAAAAACAAATAAAATCTTAAAAAAAAAAAAGAATTCCTTTCCAACTAAAGAAATGATCGTTAGTAGTACTAAAGGAATGCTTAACTCAATCTCTTAGTTCTTCTAAGGTAGAGATAGGGGAAAAAAACCAAAGAATCCTTTCAAGTTTCTTTCACAGGAACAAAATTTCCACTCTCGTATTCTTGAAATAGATTCCCATATCTATTGTTCCATAATCTTAAATATTTTTCCTCTAATAAAAAGGTCATCACAGGAATCTGAGGACATTCTCTAACTCTCTACCCACTGGCATCAAAGTTTTAGTGATATCATGGCATATGACTCAGTTCAGCTGACACTGAGACTAGACACTCCCTGAAAATCATGGAGATCCTTCAGTTGTCCAAGGAAACTTAGATAATCAGTTTTCTTGTTTTCCAGCTGCACTGCACACTATGACTGGAATACAGGGCCTCATATCATCAGTGATGCCATGTAGAAAGAGCAGCACTAGACTTAGAGGTGATAGAAGACCTGCGGTCAAGGCCTAGTTCTGCCAATTCCTGTGTGACTTTGGATAAGTCACTCAACATCTCTGAACCTCACTTTTTCTCTGTAAAATGAGACCAAGCACCTTCCTGCGGGATCGCTGAGAGTCAGATGAAATAATAATGTATGTGAGAGAACCTGGAAAACTATAAAGCACAAATTTTCTTTTTTGCCTCCTAATAGTTATGGCTCTGCTCTAGCCTCTACAGCCAGAAGCCACCTTATCTATCACAGCCCTCAGGATTTTGAAAATGTTTGACTTTGTCATGTTTTTGGACAGAAGTTATAAATGTTAATCATTTCAACAACTCTTTATCTGAACTGAAAAGTGAGACATGGAGTGAAACTATCTGGTTACAAGATGCATGTGATTTGCATGTGTGGAGGCCAAAGTCCACTTAGGAATACATGATCATTCCTTTCTCTCCCAGCCAACAGAGAACTGTGAATACAGCATCCAGACCTTTTTAATCTCACTGCCTTCAGAAATGCTACAAGGGGCTGGCCCCGTGGCTTAGCAGTTAAGTGCGCGCGCTCTGCTACTGGCAGCCCGGGTTCAGATCCCGGGCGCACACCGACACACTGCTTCTCCGGCCATGCTGAGGCCGCGTCCCACATACAGCAACTAGAAGGATGTGCAACTATGACATACAACATCTACTGGGGCTTCGGGGGGGGAAAAAAAAAGGAGGAGGATTGGCAATAGATGTTAGCTCAGAGCCGGTCTTCCTCAGCAAAAAGAGGAGGATTAGCATGGATGTTAGCTCAGGGCTGATCTTCCTCACAAAAAAAATTAAAAAATAAATAAATAAATAAAAGAAATGCTATGAGAAGCCAGTTAGCTGAATCACCAGGAAAGTGAGTTTCAGAGCAGCGGCATCGTACTTAGGAGTTAGAATCTGAAGTCCAGGAAATGAACAGTATGTATAGTCAAATTACTCCGAAAAGTTCTTTCTGCAATCCTCCAGACCTGAGCCCTTGGAAGGTCAAAAACCAAGTTTTAACTTTTTGGGTTGTTTCTCTTTGCTTTTCACCTATGACCTTCCTTTTCCTGGGCGGCAGACGACACGGTATATAGTTAAAGAAGGAAGGATGGCAGGAAGGCCTGAATTTGTGACAGGTAAGTGGGTGCACAATGTGCCTCCACTTTCAGAGCAAAGGAAAGGAATTCCACTCCAAAACCCTCTTAGGCTGGCAGTTGATAATTCAAACAGTTTAGCAAGAGACAGCAGAGCACAGTAATTACATTTACAAGGTTCAAAGCCAGGCTCTGCCTCACTGTGTGACTTCAGGCAACTTATCTAATCTCTCTGTGTCTGGTACCCGTATCAGTAAAATGGGGCTCACAGTCACAGTTATTGTGGGGATGAAATGAAGTTAATACATGGCAAGACTGTTAACAATGCCTGACACATGGTAAGCATTAGATATGTTCGCTACTATTATTACTTATTAGTGTTATCATGTTCTGTGGCAACACGGAAACTGATGAAAACTATCCCATGAGTTAAAGCTCCCATTGACAGAATGGGATAAGCAAAATATCCTCGCCTCTTACTTTTAATTTGCCCTTTGACATCACGGTCTTCCCCGGAGTGCTCTTCCTCATAATGTGACTGAAGCTGATAGAAAGACTGCAGGTCCTTTAGGCACAAAGGGCAGAGGAAGCCCTCCCTCACTTCCCCTGGGTCATCCAGAGAAGCCATGGCAGTGTCCCTCTCAACCCCTGTAAGGCAGGGGCCTCATGCCAAGAGTCAGCTTGATTCCTCCACAAGGGACCAGGGCTCCTGCAGCATTAGCTTAACCAAGCAGCACACAGATAATGGGGAAGTGGCATCATGGCCCTGGATGAGGTTTCCTCTCTGGAGTAGAAGTCCTGAGAAAGGAAAGAAGAAGGGAAGAAAAAGCCAATTCAGGCAAATTAGCAGCAGTTGAGAATTTCCTTTGTTCTTTTCACATTTCAACAAGGGTACTTAATTGTTCAGTGCAAGTTAAGAACACAAACTGATTTCTCAAATCCTTAGACCAAAACACAAAACCTTCTAAGATATGAGAACATCACTGGACAATGGCAACTCAATGAAGTGGGAAGCACAGATTCTTGAAGACAAGAAAAGAAAATTCAACTTCAACAGCAAACACAACACCAAGGCAATTCTCTAACATTCATTCCAAATGGTCCAACTTCATAATTTGTATGCCACTTTAGCCACTGGGGAAATGTCTGAAGTACTTATCAACAAGCAGAAGTTTTTATTTGACCCTCTTTACCTTGATCATTTATTCAACCACATATATTGAGCTCTCGCAGATGTGTCAAAAATGCACCAACGAAAAAGAGATAGAGTCTGCCCTAAAAAACAAACAAAACCAAAAAAACAAAAATCCCAACCTCAGTCTAAGGAGGAGCATTAGAAACCTAGTGGTCAAAAAGAAAAATCAGGGGGTCAGCCCAGTGGCATAGTGGTTAAGTTCAGCACGCTCTGCTTTGGCGGCCCTGGGTTCACAAGTTCGGATCCCTGGCACAGACCTACACCACTCATCACCATGCTGGGGCAGAGACCCACAGACAAAATAGAGGAAGACTGGCACAGACGCTGGTTAGCTCAGAGCCAATCTTCCTCAAGCAAAAAGAGGAAGACTGGCAACAGATGTTAGTTCAGGGCCAATCTTCCTCACAAAAAAAAAAAAGAAGAAGAACAAGAAAAATCGGGGGCTGGCCCCACGGCCTAGTGGTTAAGTTCGGTGCGCTCCACTTCGGCGGCCTGGGTTCAGTTCCCGGGCACGGACCTACACCACTCGTTGGTGGCCATGCTGTGGTGGCAACCCACATACAAAATAGAGGAAGACTGGCAACAGATGTTAGCTCAGAGTGAATCTTCCTCAAGCAAAAAGAGGAAGATTGGTGAGACATGTTAACTCAAGGTGAATCTTCCTCAGTCAAAAAAAAAAAAAGGCATGGGGTCAGTATTTTGTGTCTTGTTTGTAGAGCACTTTCTCTCCAATGAACTTACTAGATTGTATAAGTGACAGTTTAAATAAGCGACAGTTGAGTAGCAAGCCTAATGTTCTCACTGCTTCAAAAATAAGAGGATTTGGTGCTTAAACAATTCAAGGCTTAATGAGTTACACTGTCAGTTTTAATAGGCCATGGCAAAGTCACTTCCAATGTCATCTCAGAAAGACTCCCAGACATAAGGAGAATCCACAGAAAACCATTCCACAAAAGCAGAGAAATTTCTCCCCAAGAACCGAGGCCACAAACCACAGTAGAGAGTGAAGAGGAAATGTATGACCTCAGCTTCGAATGGACCCGCCTGGAGGGCCACTGAGGAGGGACCGCCTGGTCCTCAAAGCTGAGGGATGGCAGTGACCCAGAAAATGCACAAATGAAACACCAGGTCCCTGTTCTTTTCTTCTAGCTAAGAAACCCAAGGGCTATATACATGCAGATCTCAGCCCCTCTTCCAGATCACTGAAACAGCAGCTCCAGTTCCCTCCCCAGCCAGGGGTTCATCTGATGCCCTGACTCTGACAGCCCCCTTCCTTCCCATGCACTGGCCCCTAACAACCACAAATCAAACACACACACACCCTTCGCGTCTCAACCGAACCTCACTGCCTCAAGGAAATGCCTCTTAGGAGAGGCATTCTCCCGTGGGACACACCTTGCTCTTCTCCTTCACAACACTTATCTCAATTTATAACCACAAGTACACGAAGTGACTAAATACATCAGACTGTAAGCTCTGTGAGGGCAGAGACTATGTCTGTTTTCGCCAGCACCACCTCTCCAGAGTCTAGCACAGCGCCTGGCACAGACCACGAAGAAACAAAATAAAGCTCCATGAATGAAAGAATGCACGAACTCTAAAATCATATAACCAAATACACACCACAAACCAAAGAAATCTACCACAAACCAACCAGCCAGACCCCACAACCATAGCATATGCAAGCCCCTCACACCCTAAACAACGTAAATAAATAAATAAAATCTACATATCCTGCAAGTATACGTCCAGCACGAGCGCTCCCCGGCCACATGCCGCAAAGACTGCGTATCCCACAGCCCACTCATCCCCGCCTCACCACCGCACACAACCACCCTCCACAGAACTCAACACGATTGTGCACACGTCGCATAACCACACAACATGAAAGACCCACAGAGCAGACATGACAACTCCACACACTGCACAGGTGACACGCAAAACACTACAAACAACTCCACACAAACTCAGAACCCAAATGCCTCAACCTCACACAGCCAGAGACCCAAACACAACACTCGGGAGACAACCGCCTCCTTCCTCAGCCTCATAACCCAACACAACTGTACACGCCCCGCATAACCACACAACCAAATAGAGCCCAATCATCGCAAGCACACACAGGCGAAACGCACAGCCCGAAAGCCACATCTCCCACCACGCACGTCACACCCACCACAACCTCACACAACCCACCCCCGCGCGGCCCGCCCGTCTCCGTTCGGCGCTCCTGCCCCTCAGGCCCAGCCCAGCCCTCTGTACCCGGTCGGGCTTCCGCGGGCACGCAGGCCTGTCCAGCCCTCCGGCCCGGGCTCTAGGCCTCCACGGTCCTTCACACAGCCGCCGCCGCCATCTCCATGGCTGCTCGGCGCTCGGCAGGCGCGCCTGCGGCGGCGCCGAAACCGGAAAGGAGGCTGACAGACGCCCGTCGAGCGCCGAGTCTTCGAGGGCGAGAAAGGGGCGGGGACGGATGCAAACGGCGCAGGGCGGCCGGCGGCTTCTACGCAGGCGCTGTAAGAAGCGCGCGCGCGGGGGGGGGGGGGGGGTCGCTGGTTAATTTGCGGGCTTGTTGACGTCCTAGGTACTTACAGGCAACACGTTAAAGCCAGCCTCTTGCTCTCCGCCGCATTGTACGGATGCGATGACTGAAGCCTGCGGTTCTTTAGCTCTGGACCGAGGTGAGCCGTGAATGAGGCGGCGGAGGAGTCTTTATCGCCCCCTACCCCACCCCCAACTGCAGTTCTGCATTAATTCGGGTCAATTAAAGTTCCTGAGAGCTAGAGATTAAAGTAATATTCAGGAGACTTGGAGAATGTAAAAAGATCCACGTGAGAGTGGGGACTTGGAATGAGAGGGAGCATCCATCCAGAGGGTGTACAGCGTGGTCAAATCTGTGGCATTAAAAATAAAACTACCATATGATCCAGCAATTCCACTTTTGGGTATTTATTTATTTATTTTTTTAAAGATTTTATTTATTTTTTCCCCCCAAAGCCCCAGTAGATAGTTGTATGTCATAGCTGCACATCCTTCTAGTTGCTGTATGTGGGACTCGGCCTCAGGATGGACGGAGAAGTGGTGCCTCGATGCGCACCCGGGATCCGAACCCGGGCCACCAGCATTGCAGCGCGCGCACTTAACCGCCAAGCCACAGGGCCGGCCCCACTTTTGGGTATTTAAATGAAGAAAAAAACACTAACTCAAAAAGATATTTGTACCCCCATGTTCTCTGCAGTGTTATTTACAATAGCCAAGATAGGGAAACAACCTAAGTGTCCATTGATGGATGAATGGATAAAGAAATAATATTCACACACACACACACACACACACACACACACACACACACACACACACACACACATATATAATTTAGCCACAAAAAAGGACATCTTGCATTTGCAGCAACATGGATGGACCTTGAGGGCCTTATGCTAAGTGATATGTCAGACAGGGAAAGACAGATGTCGTATAATCTCACTTATATGTGGAATCTAAAACACACACACACAGAAAACCAAGCTCATAGATATAGAGAACAGATTGGTGGTTGCTGGAGGCAAGTGGTGGGAAGTGGCTGAAATGGGTGAAGGGGGTCAACAGGCCCAAACTTCTAGTTATAAAATAAATGTCACGGGGATGTAATGTACAGCATGGTGACTATAGTTAATAATACCGTATTGCACACTTGAAAGTTGCTGACAGAGTAGATCTTAAAATTTCTCTTAAAAAGAAAAAAATTTGTAATTTGTATGATGACGTTAACTAGACTTATTGTGGTGATCATTTTGTAATATATACAAATATCAAATCATTATTTTGTATATCTGAAACTAATATAATGTTATATGTACATTATGCCTCAAAAAAAAAAAAAAAGGGTGATCAGTCAGCACCTACTCCATGCCCTGCGCTGTGCTGAGTACCACAGGGTGTATAGAGACAAAACCTCATCCCAGTTCTGGGGAGCTGTTTGCTTTGTGCCCTGCACAAGTGCTGGCCTTCAGCAATGGCCTGGGCTCCAGAAAAAGAGCTGCAGAGCATGATGGAAAGATCCTGAGCTTTGGGGTCAGAAAGCAGCCTTGGTTCATGTTCCAGCAGTGTTGCTTGACCCTTTCGACTCCTGGTATCACCATTTGTAAAATTGGGATGAAAATAATAGTCTCCATCTCATAGGGTTGTAAGGACTGAGTGAGGTGATAGTGAGGGGGCATCCCTAACACTGGCTCCGCCTGTGGACAGGAGCACTGATTCCGCACCTAGTGCTGGGCCTCCATCACCTTCCGTTTAAGACCTGGGGCTCCCAGTGTGGAGAGCATTGAGTTTTTGGAAGGCAATCGCCAGTGAAAGGGCGGTGAGCTAAGGGTCAAGAGACCTGGGTTCTAGCTCTGCCTGCACCTTACTTTGTGACTTTGAACAGATCCCTTCCCCTCTCTTGGCCTCAGTTTTCCCATCTGTACAGGTAAAATAGTTTCCAAAGATTTGCAAGCTCTTTTATTTTTTCAACTTGGTCGCCCCCCCTTTTTTTTTTAAACTTGACAGGGTTGGCAGGAGTGGACAGTGACTCCTCTTTGTGTGCTGGCACAGACAAGGAAGAGACTTGCCAACCTGTCAGAAGCAAAGCAACAGACCCAGTTCTGTCTCTCTGTCCCCGGCCTCTGCCTTGTCTTGCGGTAGCCAGGACTTGGAGAGTGAAAACACCTTATTGAATGTCTGGGGCCATAAGTCCCAGAACTGGCCGTGCTTACAGGCAGGACTATCTTTGGGGTCAGGCGATGAGCCTTTTATTAAACCATCATGATTTTGCCTGTCATTTACAAAAGCCAGTGTCACATTCACCATTTCATTTGCTCAAAAAAGCAGTGGCAATGTGGCCTGCAGCTTGTGAATTAATTCTGAAAATCATGATGGATCAGCCACTGCTGTTCTATTGATATTTTTAAGGGATGATGGTGGCAAAGACCTTCCTGTATGCTTTACAGTTTATCAAAAGCACTTATATTGCTTAAATCCTTTGGGAAACTCTATTACTATTTGCATTTTAATAATAATAATAATGATTAATATTAACTGAGTGATTCACATGTGCCAGTCACTGTTCTATGTGCTTTACATGTCTTAGCTTATTTAATTCTCGTACAACCCTATGTGGTACAAACTAATATCATTCCCATTTTATAAGTGAGGAATCTGAGGCACAGAGAGGTTAGGTGACTTGTCCAAGGTCACACAGCTGGTAAGTGCTGAACCCAGAGTCATCTTGCCTTGAGACTTTCACCACTCCCAATTTTCCTTCCTCTGTGAACGTCTGATCTCTGAGCCTTCCTGCATCTCTCAGCATTTTCCAGGCACCAACTGTGTACCAGGCATAGAGATAGAGGGTGTAAGGAGAATAAAGCAGGATGGTCTCAGTCTTGGAGGAGGGCTCAGCTGGCAGGGGACACAGATGCTTATAAGCCAAATAGTTAAAAAAGAGAGAAGTGTGCACATATGTGCAGAAGCTCTGGCATCAAAGGGGAGGCAGAATCCCCTGTGGGAATTCAAGGAAGGTTTCCCAGAGGTGGCAACACATGAGCAGAGCCCTCAGGTAGAAATGATCAGGAAGAGCCTTCCAGGCCGGGGGAACAGCATATGCAAAGACATGGTCATGCAGAAGAACATGCATCCTTTGAGAAACTTAGAAAAGTTCATTCATACTCCTCCTTGTTCCCAACACTGTAGGGAGCTGCTTCTAATGGTAGAACCTCAGAGAACTGGCTCTCTTCCCCTTTTGCCTTCCCCGTTAGAGTTCTCTCTCTCTCCCTGTCTTTCTATCCCTCTCTCTTTGTCTCTCTCTTTCTGGCCCCTTATTGTCTAAGTTCATCCCAAGCAGCACGAGATGTCTCGGCATCACATTAAAATCCCTGAGCAGGAAACGGAAATCACGATGTGGGTAAGCCTACGTCAGGGGAAGGTGTGCGGCACATCATGTAACTGCCCAAAGATCCAGCTTCCCTCCAGGCTGGCCCAGGCCCCCGTCTGCCAGACCTCTGCCAACTGCCGCCTGTGGTTGTGAGCAGACGGGTTGAGGGGGTAGAGGCTGGCACACCCCATCTACTGGCACAGGGAAATGAGAGTAATGATGGAGGGACTGGCAGGGTAGCAGGAGAGCAGGGCCTGGTCTGGAGAGTTGGCAGAGGGTGTACCAGACTGGGCAGTGTCCTGGGGAAGCAGGTGGCAGCTGCTCAGGGTCAGGAAGGAAGAAAGCAGAGAACAGAGGAAAGAAGAGAGGGAAAGAGGAGAGGAAGGGTAAGAAAGAGAGGGAAGCACGTAGGAAAAGAGGGAGAAAAGAAAGATAAGAAAAAAGTTATGAGGTAGCAAAACATCATGATTATAAGCACAAACTTCAGAGCCAGTCAACCCGGGTTTGAGTCCTAGCCCTGTAGCTGTGTGATCCCAGGCAAGTCACTTAAGTTTCCTCATCTGTAAAATGGGATAATAATAGTACCTACCTCCTAGGTTGGAGGATTAAATAGGTTAATATTTAGAAAGTGCTGGAACAGTGCCTGGCACATAGGAAGGACTATGTAAATGTTTGTTAAATAAAGAAAAAGGAAGGGAGGTGTCATTCAAATGCCTTGGCAGTTGTGTCAGTCTCATAGGAGGTATGAGGAGCCCACTTGGTGTCATGGAAATATCTCTGAGAGTCATGGCCCTGCTGGGTGGGAACTCAGAATAGAATCAAATAGTAACTACATTCACTGCATCCAAGGGGGGCTGGAGGGGGCAGGGAGTGGTAGCCTCAACAGACCTGAAAAGTAGAAAATATGGAATTGACTTGGGGGGATGTGAGCACCAAGGCCACCTGATTTGCAGGTCGTGGGCTGGCATCTCTTTTGACAAAACAGGGCCACTACCAGCCCATAGGGGCCTTTGTGAATGGGAAAGAGGCCCCCCACCCTCCAATGGATGCAGCCCTGTGCCAGGACTCAAGCTCTGCACTTGGCAAGTGGGGCACAGACTGGATTTCTGCTCCCATCAACCCCTTGGCTGTGCTATACACAGCCCACACGATGGTCCCAGGGCCAGGGATGAGGATGAAGGCTCAGCCTGGTCCTCAGGTCGTGAGAAAAATCACACTGGTGTTCTGCAGTTTCACATCTCATTGCTTTGACTGAAATCTCTGGAGATATGCACGCTCAGCCAGTTGAGAATTTAACCCCAATTCCAACTCAGATTCGAAATAATCCATGTAAATGTGATGTTTTAACTATTTGAGGCATTTAAGAATGTTTGGAGTGTAAAGCATCCAACACATTAGACTTAGGACTCCAGTTTAAAATGTGTAACTCAGCAATCGACTTAGGGTCACGATTTTAAGTTCATTCAACAAACTATGTATTGAGCATCTGCCTACCTGG